CAAGGGAGAGAGGAGGTTGATGCTGCTGTCTCTGTTCTCCTCCTGCTGGGAATGTTGGCAACGAGAGAAAGTCACTGTGGCAACTGATCTGGACATGTATCATGGAAAGCCTTGAGGCTTGCTGGGAGAGTGAGTTTTACACTATGGTGACTGCTTCTGGAAGTGACAGAGATTATTACTGAGATGAACTTTAAAAGCAAAAATAAAGAAACATGACCTCCTTTTTTTTTGTGTGAGCTACAAGCTGCCTCCTGATTCAACTTGTGTCTTTGGCTCCATAATTTTTCTTTTATCTCAAACTGTCAGTTAATTACATGTATCTTCGGTGGCCACTATGCTGGATGTTGTCTCAAACACTTTGTGAGGGGTATGTATCCATGTATCTATATATCTAGTATATATAGCATATGTAATATGGTTTATGCACTCAAGAAACTGAGTGCCAAATGGTTTCTCAGATGATACTTGGTATGTATCAGATATGAGGCATCAACCAAATGCTATGGCAACCCAGGGGGTGGAAGGAAGTGCATTTACCGGCAGGGTAAGATCTTGAAGAAAATAGAGAATTTTACTTAGTAACTCGATGTTAGATTGGACTTTTCTTTCCGAATTTCAACTAAAACCCTAAGTAGAAATAGACACAAAGAGGAGCTACTGGACTCTAGGGCTTACAGAGTTAGCTAGAGAAGAGTTGAGATTCTCATCACCTCCACTCCATTAGTGATGAGGGGTGTTGTGGGATTCCTCTTTACTTGCTGAAAGTAAGGGAAAGGAGAGTGTTATGGACTGAATTGTATCTTATCTTTTCAAAATTTAAACTCTGATCCCTTAAGTGACTGTATTTGGGGACAGAGTCTTTAAGGAGATAATTAAGGTTAAATAAGATCATAGAGAGGAGACCCTAACAAATAGGATGGGTGTCATTATAGGGAGAGAATTAGATACCAGGTATGTGTGTGCATAGAAGAAATGCCATGTGAGAATGCCACTATGTGAGAAGACTTCTCACTATGTGAGAAGACAGGCATAAATACAAATAAAAAATCAAAGAGAGAAACCTGAGGAAAAACCAACACTCCTAATACCTTGGTTTTGAGCTTCAGTCTATTTTTTTTTTTTTTTACACAAGCACTGGGTACAGTCAGAAGCGCAGGAGGGTGAGAGAATTCACCAGAGCCAGGGCGGGGAACAGAGCAGGCAGACTGACGAAATGTGGCAGGAGAGGTCTGCGTGCCATGTGGGACCCTCGCTGGCAGCTGGGGATCGAACTGGTGCTGCAGAGGCTGCGGGCAGCTTCGCAGCCCAGAGCTCAACTGCTGTGCCACCGGGGAGGCCCTTGAGCTTCAGTCTTTAGAACTATGAAAAAAATAAATTTATATTGTTTAAGCTACATAGTGTGTGGTATTTTGTTACACAGCCCTGGAAAAACAATATAGAGGGTTTTACAATTAAGTAGGCGTCCTTTGAAAACTTTCTATAGGAGTTAGGAATGACTATAAGAATGTGAAACTGATTATCTTATGCTCCAGGACTTGTTGGTGTACATGAAATAAAAGAGTATAAAGTTGGTTTTGATTCTGATTGATTTTTTAAATACTAAAAATTGAGCTGTCCTCACTAAAATACCTTTGTGATGTCCTTAGGGAGCACAGAAGGTAGCTATCACAGATCATGTTTGAAAGCAGTAGTTAGTAGAAGATAAAACTCTCTTATTCGGATTGTTTAATAGACTGGCTATACATATACAATGAAGGCCCTCTATATGACAAATGTCTACACGTGTCAGTAATATTAAGTATGCTGTTCTATAATTGGTGGCTTAATGTTATGGCATTAGCATTTTTAATATCTGCTTAGTTTTTAACTCACAATATAGTCTACAGCAATCGGATTTATGGGCTAAGACAGGAAGATAGTATGATAAATATTACCCATATTTCCATTCCAGCTAAGGATTTGCTAAATTCTGACAATTCTTATTTTTTATGTTGCTTTTTTCAAAGATCAAGTAATGGGTATTCTTTCTCTCTCTCTCCCTTTCTCTCTCTCTGTGTGTTGGGGAGGGAGGGGCAGGTACTAGTCAACTATCCATGATGATGTTTGCTGGAAAATGAAATGCAACATCCAAAACAGTTAATGCTGGCAAATCATTGTTGTTAGATGTTTATGCCCTATAAATTCAATCATCATTGATTGAAATATCTGAGCCAAGAATAAACAGATAATTAACTCTCTCTGCTGAGTCATCTACATATTCCACTAAATACTTTCATTGGCCAAAAGAGAATTCTGCTATTTAAACATTTCTCTCTCTGTTTATATTTTAAAATAAAAAGTTTTTGACCACTGGAAGTATTTAATGGATTATGTAGATGGCTCAGCAGAGGAAGTTAATTATCTGTTTATTCTTGGCTCAGATATTGCACAATTTCAATCAATGGTGATTGAATTTATAAGGCATAAACATGTGATAGCAACTTAATTGTCAACATTAACTGGCTTGGCTGTTTCAGTGCATTTACTAGGGGATATCATACCACCTGTCAATACTGTTGGCATAATTAGTTGGCATCTCATTTAATTAGTTCTTCTAATTCTCAGTATGAGAATATGAGCCACAGTTTTCCTGCAAGAATTTCTCTTTTAGAGACTGTAGGGTAAGAAGCTTAGATTGTTTTAAGTAAAAATATAGTGCAGAAAAAAAAATCAAGTGAAGGAATAAGCAATACATTTATGGTAATTATAGAGGAGGATGTTCAAAAATCAATGAGTGGCTAAATACCAACTAATATGTGGTCATTGTAAGGTGTTGGCCGGGGCAATTCTAAAGGATATAACAAAACATCTTCCTTTAGCATATGACAAAATTAACCTTGTTAATATTCCTGTAATCCTCAATTGGGCTTAGTTTTAATACATTTTCAAATATTCATTCAGCCTACATTCCTCTCACTACAGAGGCAACCAGTGATCAAAACAACTGAACAGAAGGTGGACACAAAGAGTATTCTATACTTGGTCATCAATCTTATGGCAAGAACTCATACTGCAGCAGTAATTACCATTTACTTTAGAAACCATGCAAAAACCTAACCTCTAACTTAAGGGTATCAGGGACTCCCTCCACTGCTCCTGTCCTCATAGCAATTGTGAAGGCCAAATAATATTTCTCACCTTTATATGATTTTCTATCCTAGTATTCTCACTATCCAGTTCTTAAATATACAATGATTATAAAATGGAAATAGAAGAAGGGAAGAAAATATAGAGATACAAAGAGAAGTAGACACAATAAGAAATATGACAAGAAAACATTACTTTCTATTTTTTCTCCCTTGAAATTTCTAAGCTAAATAAAAAAGTTAAGTAAGCATTCCTCAGGAAAAACCAATGTTTAAAATTAAAGTAAAAACAAAAACTGAATAGCATACTCAGCTACAAGTTGGGAAATAATTGGTGGGACTAATAATGGCATAAAAGGACTGATGGCCTTGGATAATAATAGGCATTTTAGTATTTTATTACTAAATCAAACATGTCAGAAATAGTATAGATTTAAGGCTATGAAAACATACCCTATCATAATCTTTTTATTCATCAGTCCGAGCTTATTTAACATTTTAGAATATTTTGTTAAAAGTAGAAAGAAACGATAATAAAATATGAAAGTAGTTGGAAATATTTAGTCCAGAGAGAATGCAAAGTTCAACATAAGCTGAGTAACCACATAAGAGTTCTGGAGTGGAGACAGGCAGAATTCGCATTGTACCTGGGAAATCTGGACTGGGAAGAAGGTCTCATAGTGGAAAGGGAGAAAAAGCACAGCCTTGCCCTCCCTTTGGTTTTAATACAATTTAATATATTTTTAACCTAATGTTTCCTAAATAGAAACATTAATGTAATTTTTTAAAAAGATAACTATAGCTTTGGAGAACTTAGCAAAAAAATAATGTCTACAAATTTGCAGATGCTGTAATTGTATTTTTTCATGGTTGCTGAAGGTCCACAAATAGCAACAGCAATAATTGGCTGGGGGCATTGTGGGGATGCAGAGAGTTCTAAGCAGCTAGAGAAAGCCAGAACTTTAGGGGTTGGAGAGAGGAAGTGAACAAAAAGGCAGCAAGGAAGAAAAAGTCTTAAATGTGGGGGAATAGAAGTTGGGATTTTAGGGAAAAAATATCATACATATCTAGAATGGCATTAGGTTCAGTCATGGCTGATAGCAATTCATATCCTGTAATTCACTGGAAAATATTGTCTTGGTGGAGACAATCTCATGACATATAGGACATAGCTGTGCTCATGGATTGCTCGTATGTACAGGCCTGTGTGCTGCTGAGCCATGTAGAATGGACACCTCATTGTCAGAAGCACTTGTGCTCAGTGTGAATGCATCAGGAACAACATATTTTCCTGTGATATTTTTAATATCTTGCTTAATGAGGCAAAGATTTATTTTCATTCCTAGCCATTTTCCTAAATAGAAACATTAATTACCTATTTTTTTTAAAAAAGGTAACTATAGCTTTGGAGAACTTAGCAAAATGTCTACAAATTTGCAGATGCTGTAATAGCTTTTTTTCATGGTTGCTGACTTCCAGTATTATAGATAATCCTGTCTCTAATTGCAATGAATCTACCCACTCTTCTAAAATCCTGTGGGTTGCATAAACCTGTTGATCAAAAATAGCTAAGTCAGAGGTATATCCTACCCTGTTACTATTAATTTGTATAATGAAAATACATTTACTTTCCTCTTGTGCCTTATCGAGTTCATTTGGAATTGTGCTTTCAAACTTTAAAATAGTTGGAAGTGGCCCCTAATGGTGGATGGTGGTCCAGTAATGGTTTGAGCCTCCTCTGTCATCTAAGAAGGAAGATTGCTTTAATTGGTTTATGTCTGGTGAAGACTTTTTGTGATAATCATGGATTGCTCCTGGAAGTCATAGTAACAGTTAGCTTTAATTATCTTTTTCTTTTTCTGGTATGTTTCCCAGAAATATTGAAGTTCACATAGGATTTGGTTGTAACTATGGGAGCCATTTGGAAATACAACTCTGATGGCTTGGATGGTGCTGCATGAACAGAAGCTGAATACCTCCCACCAGCCCAATCTCCCCCTCCATCTGTGGAAGGAGAAGGGGAGTGTGGTCGTTCTGCCTCCATCAAGCACATAAATGTCCAAGGAAAAATGCAGTTAATCAAGTCACAAGATGACTCAGCGCTCTTGGTGAGTTACAGTTCCCTTTAAAAATTCGTTGAGAACGATGGGTCATCTTCCCTGAGTTTATATATATAGATAACAGTTTTCTATATAACTTTTGAAAGTTCAGAAATCACTCTGCCCAGTCATGGAAAAGTTTCAAATCTAATCCTGTTACCTATTTCGCTTTTAGAAAAGTTAAACAGAGGTAAAAAGGTTTATTCAAAGGAGGGCTTAATGATTATGTTGAAGTAAGTTTCATTTCAGTTTCTGTTAAATTAGTATTTTTATTTCTTTCATACAGAAAACTTTTGACCCATTGGGTGAGTTGATTAGACTTAACTGTATTTTGCCTTGGTCATATGTGTGTTTGATGGTGACAGACTGACCACACTCTCCTCCTTCCACAGATGGAGGGGGAGATTGGGCTGCTAGGAGGTATTCAGCTTCTGTTCATGCAGCACCATCCAAGCCATCATAGTTGTATTCCCAAATGGCTCCAGAAGTTACACTCAACCCATCTACATTTTCATCTAATTGGAAATAAATACCATTTGAGAATCAAAACTTGAAAAAATACCAAGTTTATTGATTCAAAGCCACTTCTCTTTGGACCCCTAACTCTAATCTTGCACCAGTACCTATTCATAGTTCTTATATCTTCCTTCCTTTTGTTTGGGTGAGCTATTATATTTGGAATTTCTGTCATACTTTGTGGTTGTATATCTCATCTGATTTTCCTTTTCCCAGTGATGGATCAACCACATTGCTTTTTTGGCATTGTTATTACATGCTATCAGCTCTCATTTGCAACAATTGCTATTTAATAACTCCTAATCACTAGCAATCCTTTTTGTAATGTCCCTTTCTTTAGTTGCCATAACAACAGAAGAGTTGGTCAAAAATTCATTATCCATCCTCCTTATAAGCCAAATAGAGGACTCTCAGAAATATCAGTACTTTTTAAGAGAGTCATTTAAAGGGACAAAAACATGCTTTTCAGCTAGAACTTTATAGAATATATCATAGACAGGGTTGACAAGGGCATGTGATTTCATCTGGTCTTTCCTACTCTATTCAGGCAAATCTCCTGAATTGCATAATTTACAGGTGACCAACTAATCCGTGGCCTGGAAATTTCCCATAATGGGACAACATCCCATTTTGATGTAGCCTATACTTTGTTGGTAGACTTAAAGATTGCAGTGTTCTCTCTTGTATTGATTCAAAATATATGTCCTAGCAACTTCTCTACAACAATTCTTGTTACATTGAGTAAGACTTCACAAAATAAGCTGGATCTATTTATATTTTTTTATTCTTTTTACTTTGAGCATTTATTTTATTGTTATTTACTTTACCACTATATACAGTTCTTTCCCTTTAGGTTACCTTTTGTATTTGAGACAATCATCCAACTTGACTTTGGTTCTACTTTTTCTAGATGAAGACAACTCTCTTTAATTAGTAAATTCCCTGACCGGTCTAATTTCTGCATTTGAAGAACAAATGTTCAAGATACAATCTAAAAAAAAAAAAATTCCAGTGGAAAAGTAGCTTCACCCTATTTTCCACTGATGTGGGTTATCATGGAGTAAAATCTTCCTTTCCTCCACTTCCTAGGATGAATGCATAGCAAAGACTCTCTTATTCAACATATTCCATTCCCCTAGCCATAGAGATTATTTCATTCCTTGGCTGGTGATTCAATCTGGTCCAGTGGAATTTTATACCAAGACATTTATGGAAAATACTGAAGAGAAACTCTCCATCTTTGGGGTTGCTAAGATGCCAGTTTATGAGCATGGAGCATGTAGGGGAGTGCCTGTACAAAAATAAAGGTAACTCCAAAAAGCAGAGCCTTGAGACAGGGAGAAATCACACCCTGACCACATTGTTAGAGCACCTGGAGCCAGTCCTACCTCAAATAATGTTACTTCTTAATTTTTTAGATAACTGAAGAAAAAAAGTATAAAGAATGCTTAAATCAGCTCAAGTGGAGTTCTGTTATTATCCCTAAAATGTTTGGAATAATGCAGTTATACTTGTGTGAGTCTTATCTTTTCTTACCTGAAAGTCTGTGACATTATTTTCAACTTTTTCATCTCTGAGCTATGTGACACTATATGTGTCCTCAAATGTCAATTGGAGTACCCAGAACTGAACATTGAGCTCTAGGTAGCATAGAATGTACATTTTTGGAAGATTGTTGAACACATTCCTTCCCTGATAATGCCTATATTTTTAATGAAAAAGTCCTATATTTTTACTAAAAAGGCCTAGATTGCCTTACTACCCACCAGCCCCTTTATAGCTGCCATCTGTTGGTTTATACATCTTAATTTCTAAGGTCTTTATTACACAAACATAGGCGATCCATCTCTTACCTTACCTTTTATCTTATCTCTGCACCTCTTCACCTGTACCTCAAGCTCTTTCCCAAATTATATAGGCACATACCAACATGTCTGGTCTATTGAAATAGTTTTTAATTTTGAGTATATAAAAGTAATTTAGTCTCTCAAAACTTCAGTTTCGGGCCTCCCTGGTGGCGCAGGTGGTTGAGCGCAGTGTTGTGAAGCTGTCCACAGCCTCGGCAGTGCCGGTTTGATCCCTGCTGGCCAGGGAGCAACCCACATGGTGAGGCAGACCTCTCCTGTCTCACCCGCTGCTCCCCTCAGCAGTGTATTTCAGTCAGTCTGCTTGTTCTGTTCCCTGCTCTGTCTCTGGTGAATCCTCTCACCCTCTCGCACATCTGGCCTATACCCCAATTCTTTGATTAAATAAATTAATCTTAAAAAACACAAAAACTTCCATTTCCTCTTTATTGTAAAAGTGTGTGTATTAGAGAGCATGCCTTTGTTTTTGTTTTTTTTTTTTTATAAACAACTGCTCAGCGATATTTCCATTTATTTTACTTTTAGTAATAAAAAATTTGTTTCTATCTCATACATTATTGAACACATATTTTGCTTTAAAATTAACAGTCACAATTGAAGAAACAATGGTTTATTTTTCGAATCAAGTGACCAAGCTGCTGAATCTTAAGGCCTCAACAAATGTTGCATATTATTTTCAATGAACAAGACCTTCTATTTTGATTATTCCTGGTACATAGCTATTTTGTTTCTCCACTGGTTTCCATGTGACAGTCATGACAGATGGTTTAACATGGTGGCTACTGCTTTCAGGGGATTCTGTCAGGTGAATCCTCATTTCCAGTGCAATAGCTGTTGGCAATCTCTCCTTTAAAGTCCATTGATCAGGACTTCTCTATCGTGGTTGGCCAAGGAGTCCTGCTTTGGCTGCCAAAGCTTCATTCTGCTGAATATGATATTCCTGAAATCTCATAGATATTCTTTGCGTTATTTTTAAATATTTCTGTAAGCAGTGTTCCGAACAGGTGGTCTCTTCAGGTTTTACTTCTCTTGTTGTGAAGTCCTTCACACAGTCCAAAAAGCAGGTTTCTGTAAGTTTATTGTAGGTTCCAAGAAATTCCCTAAACTGTTTTATCTGATCAGATTCTCGTACTTGTGCAGCCATATTCTTTTGGTATGTTTATTAGTCACCTTTTCTGATGCATGAGTTTCTTTTCTGTTCTGGAAAAGTAGTTGTCCAACCTTTGCTTGAATGTCTCCAGTAAGGCCTGATTTCTTATTTCAGCACAGGCTCTCGCATCCGACACCAGTACGAGGCTGGGGGGGCTAGGCTGCCAGTCGAGTCTAGGGGTGAAGGGCTGGGGTCAGGGCGGGCGCCGCAGCCGCTGGATGGGACTAGAGAGCATGCCTTTGTTTGCAGATAAAAGAAAATCCTAATTAAAACAGTTTTTCCATAAGAGGAAATAAGTATCCACAACAAGAAGTCTGGAGGTAAGAAAATTTAGTTTTGGTAAATTTGGTGGCTAAGTGATGCCATAAAGATGGCTGCCACAGTTCTGTGTATCATAGACAGACATGAAAATTCAAGCAAGAGACGGACTTTTCTTTCCAAAAGTTTTTTTTCTCAAGAAAAAATGCTCCCTAAAGTCCTTTGGGTGTCCCCCTCACATCTCATTGTCATAAGACTATGTTTAAATCATGTGACTATATTTAAATCAGTCCCTGGTAAGGGATTTGGGATAATTGGTCTAGACTAATGGTCTCAAACTAGCTTTGCATCAGAATCACCTGAGGACTAGTTAAAACACAGTTTTTTTGTCCATTACTAGAGTTTCTGATATAGTAAATTTGAGTGGGACCAAGCAACTTGGTTTCCTAAGTTCCCAAATGATACCGAGGGTATTGGTTGAGATGAACACTTGGTCTCTAGTTTAGATAAATAGGATGCTGAAGTGCCTGGACTGAGGTTCTTAAGGGACAGGTGGTTTCCTTCAGGGCTTTGATATTAAGGAAGGAAGCAGGCAATCATGAATGCCCTGCTGTGGGAGCTAATGATACCAAACTCAAAGGATTGTCCCATGAGTTACTGATAATGCATATAATTTGCCCACCACACTAGATTCAGTAGATGTAATTGCTATTATTGATTCTATTATACATAGAAGTTGTATTTATACTCTTTCAGTTTAACTTGAAAATTTGAAATGTTTTTACATCTCTATTTAGGTCATTGATAATATATTGAACAGTCCAAGGCAGACAGAGAATTCTGAAATTTGCTGTAGTGATTTCTCTTATCCCTGATATCAAATCACTAATCCAAAATATGTATTATTCAGTTCTTTAGAGATTTCTTTTCAGTGAACTGTCATTTAATCTTATTTTTCCATGTCATCCAAGAGGATATCTTCAGATACTATAAAATAATTGGTTTCAAATTTGCCTATACATCTCTTTGGAAAAAAATATATAGTATATTATATGTTATGGCATTTTATTAATATTTAGCATTTTTATTTCGTGTTTGCTGGTGTCAGATACTGTTTAAGCTGTTTCACAAAAGTGGGTACCATTATTATTCCTACGTCACAAAGGAAAAAAAATGAGCTCAGAGTTAAATGATTTTCCCAGGGCCTTGAAAATGGTAAATGGAAGCAGTGGGATTTTGATCTATCCTGATATAATCCCTAATAGGCAATACCTCACATGAACAGTGTAATCACAAGCTATGGACATGACTATAATTCAACATAACACCTGGAACCTAAAATGCGCTCTCTTTCTCTCTCTCTCTCTCTCTTGCATATATACATGTACACATCTTTCTTCTTCTTTATAACTTTTAAATTACATTTTAGTACATTCCAGTTTTTTGAAAAGTATCCAACAAGTTACAGTGCATGGGGCAAGCATTATTCATAAGTGTTTGGGTAAACCACTGTACTGTTTAGGGGCCTCACAAAGGATAACCCTGCTAATATGTGTGTGACAGTATTTGAATATTATATTACCTATTTAATATTTCAGTAAATATCGAGAAGAAACATCTGAAAATGTTTGCAATAACATTGGATTGGATTGGAGTTTCACAATGGATTCGAATTGGAGCAAAATAGCAACAAATGGCAACTGTGAGGACAGGAATTACCATTATACTAATTAAATTCAATATCTAGATAGTATCATGATTCTGTCCTATTTATTATAAACAAAATACATTCTACTAATTAATTTTTAAGTGTATAAAGGTATAATCAAATGAAAGTTCTTTGAAGGTAGGGACGCTCAGTATTTAATGTATTTTGGGCCTCCTCACTGTGTTGATGAATTTTTTGAGTCTGGCCTTTCAGTGAATTTATCTCCTGATCACTAGGTTTTTGCTTTGCAACTTGATTGGAAGCCTTGCCTTCCCAGGGAGGAAACTAATCAGCACTTTGTGAACTCCCCAGATGCACCTGGCCATGAATCTTAGCAAATCTAGGGCGATTGAGCAGAGAGCTTAGGCACAACTATTTGGCTGTCGTTTCTGTTTCTTTGTCACATTGTGTTAGGTCTGTTGTACCAGCAGGTGTCATGCTGGGCTGCACTTTCCCACAGAAATCTGTTAGGTAAAAATTCAGAATTATTTCCTGTTCTATAGACTCTGAATATAGAACACTAGCCTCAAGCATTTTACCATACAGAAGCAGAGAGTTGTGTTATCTTAATTATAAAAGCGCCAACTATGAAGGCCTTTCCCCCACTTAAGCCTCTCATGGAAAGTATACAGAGCATGAGGCTGTTCATGGATGCAACTTGTCTACCTACAACTTTTCTATGATAGGGGGTAAATGAATAGAATGAGGGATGTAATGAGCCTTCCTTTCCTGTGCTAAGGCTGAGGTTGCGTCCCTATAGGAGCATGCATTTAGCTCTGTGGATCTTTCTTGAGTGTACATCAGAATCATTGGGGAGGCTGGTGATACCAGGGGTGGTGGGCCTTTACCCCAGAGTTCCTGAATTTGCATTTCTTTTTTAAAAAGATTATTTATGCATACAAGAACTGGGGTACAGAGTAGAGATGCAGGGGGTGAGAGGATTCACCAGAGACAGAGTGGGGAGAAGAACAGGCAGATTGACTGAAATACACTGCTGAGGGGAGCAGCAGGTGAGACAGAAGAGGTCTGCTGTGCCATATGTGCATCAGCTTCCTGGCCAGGATCGAGCTCTTGCTGCAGTGGCTGAAGATAGCTTCATAGTGCTGATACTCAACCCCTTGTGCTACCAGAGAGGCCCTGAATTTGCATTTCTAACAAGTTCCCAGGTGATGTTGGGAACAAGTTTGAGAGCCACTGCTTTAGCTTAAGGCTTTGGCTTTACTTGGCAGATGAACCCAGTTGTACATGTTAGGTTTGCCTTGTTTCCCTCTCCATTTAGAACTGCTCAGTACTTGCAGTTTTGGGGAGTTGCTTATATTAGGAAAAGTTCTTAAAAATGAGGTCATTGGATAAAGAATTATACTTCATGTATTCTGTTTCATATCAGCAGTCCCCTCTGTGTACACCTCCAGCTGTCATCGTGAGTTGGATCCTGGCCTGCTGCTTGCCAGTGAGCCACAACTGCAGGCCCTCATTGATGGGACAGCGCCACCCTCACAAGCGCTCTTTTGTTTGGACTTCTGAACACTGTGACACTATGTGGGATGAGGTAGCTGGCCACTTGTGGCCTTAGACACTGTGTTTCCCTGTTTGTTAAGTAAACCCAATTGTCATTTTCCCTGAGCCTGAGTGGTCTTGCATTGAACGTGTGGGTGAGAACCCACAAACAATGACCTGTCCTCTACCTTGGCACTGTTTTTTGACTGTCTATAGCACTGCTGCAGCCCTCTTTCATCTTCATTACAAAACAGGGGTAAGATATTCCTCTTCTACTAAGGGCAAATGAGATGCCACATGAGAGAGTGCTTGGAAAACTTTAAAATGCTGTGCCAACAACAGATATAATTAGCTCTAGAACCAGTTGCGGTGGTACTCTCACAGGAGGTCTTGTTGGTCCAAATAGCCAATTATAGTGACTGTTGTTAATGCTTGAAAATATAACATTAAGGAAATAAATTATTTCAAATTTTGTTTTGGTACATTAACATTTGACAATATCTAAGCTAATGAGGTCACAAGAGTAAACATAGAAAACCCTGTTAGTAGAGACTATCTACATGTCACAACAGGAATAAAAGACAGAAAACAGAATCACTGATTTTTTAACACAATTCTCAGTCTGACAGAATGAAAAGTTAATTAGCATGTGCTACCCAAAAACAAAATAGCAGATTCCAGCTCCATTTAAGTTTATTGAGTTTGATTTGATTTTACTGATTCTCAAGCACCAATAGCTACTTGGCCCTGATTTCTTAATCAGCAAAGGAATGTTAGATAGCTGCTTATTTCGTCTACATGGTTTATTATGTTGTCTCATTTATTTTGGATCGCAGAGCTCAATTAGGTAGGTGGGTGGGCCACCTTTTTGCTTTTGGGGATAATAAATTCCAAAGAAACTTTAAAAATTTAGGCCAGTTTACAAAGCAAAAACAGACAATTATAAATCAGAGACATCCTGCAGGGGAGGAGGAGGGAGAGGGATTGGAAGAGGGGAGGGAGGAGCACAGGGGACTGAGGTGATGGTACACAGGTGCATTGGTGAAGAAAAATCTATGGGACTACACCTGAGGGGGGTGGGGGGAAGCAAATATTGTTTAAAAATGAACAATGATGTAAAAAATAAAAAAATAATTAAAAAAACATAAAACAATTTAGGTCAGTTTGTTCTAATTTTTTAAAAGACAATCACATTGAGGTGGTTGAGCATCTTAGTGGGGAATACTTATTGTAAAGTTATTAAAGTAAGTTCCTCTGAAGGGATATTAGCTTTGAGGATTCAACAAGTAACTTCAAGGGTGTAAAAACTGAAGTAAAGGAGAGAGTTGTGAAATCAGGAATTAGGAAACTAGAAACAATGGCTTCTTTGCCCACTTTTTAAATGGTACTCTTGGGTTTTTTTTTCTGCTAGTTCCTACTTGCAAGCTTCACTTCCTAGTTCTCACACAGATCTCCTTTTATCTACTTCGTTGTCAGCATGCAGATAACTAAAAATGACTATCTCAGACCAGCCCTGTGTATTAATACACTGAATTTAATTACGTGTATCACCCTCGCCCCCCTAGCTGTGCCTCTAACTTTAAATTAGAGAATATGATTGGTCACTATTTGGTTAGAGGATTGGATACTTCAAATCTAATGCATACTCCTAGTTCAATGAATCGTGTTGAGGTCACATGATTAAAACCTGACTGCAAAGTTCTCCAACTTCTAACATATAGCTCTGTAGGGTAAAGAAAATGTCGGGCTTTTCTGCCCTCCTGCCATCAGGATAGATGATGGATCCTTGAGGTCCTGAGTGCATGCCTGATGGCGGGCACCTGGAGTAGGGTGTGGGCATAGGTAGATGGGATTCACCTGGGCTAAGACTGTGGGGGCGGTGTCACAGGGATGCCAGCAGCAGCCAAAAGAGAAGCCGAGAGAGAAGCAGAGAAGCAGAGAAGAAGAAGCAGAGATCACTGGAGAGCCCACAGAGTGAAGACCTGCTGGGGACTGGGAGGCATGCCAGCCTCCCGGCCCCCAGCACCCCTTCTTGCCATATGCCTGGTGAACCCCAATGAAAGACCTGCAGAAAGCCACTGGGGACTCTGACTCCTCCTTTACCCAGTCTGCATGGGATTGGAGGACCTGCACTGTGTCCTTCCTGCCTTTACAAGCTCCTAGAGAAGAGTGCTGAGGGGAGGCAAGCACCTCAAGATATATGACTCTTATGTTTAGTCACACCTAAAACTTTACCTCCTTGCACTGGAAAATGTGTCAGTTTCCTATTAGTTATATGCCTGTCACCGAAGGTTTTTCACAATTAACTTCAATGCATTATATATTGCTTCCTTTCACTTTTAGCTAATAAAGTATAATATCTTATCTCCAACATACATGTTATAAATATTATTAAAAGCAATAAAATGCTTTTATTATAATCTTTCTACAGCTATTCTCATTAAGTTAGCAATAATATGTGTTCATTGTTCATATTATTTGTTTAGTTGGCTTATTTGGTTTTTCTTAAGAAACGGCTGATATAATATGTAATGTTATGGCCTATTTTGAAGACTATATGTAAGTATTTTTCTGGTTTTTGAGGGAAGCATCTGGGACACATAATATCTTCTTCAAATATGTGTTAATTTATAACTAATAAAGTAAGTAATGGACATGAAATTTAACAATAAAAGTCTAGGTTCATGGAGTCTAAAAAATGCAATGTCAAAATAAAAAAATCTGAATTCCCCAATCTGGGGAGACATCAAGTTATTTTACCTGTGGTGTTTCACTAAAAGGAACATAAATATTATTGTGAGCAGTGCAGCTAGAAATTTTTATGAGCTCTGGAAATTATCTCTGAGGCTCTTTAAGTTGTAGAATTCTAACTAATTTGAAGTTTGTGGAGAAATTGATTACAAAAGGATTTAGTGATATAATTTTGAAACTGCATGTATTAGGCAAGAACTTAAAATACTGGTCCAGGAATGAAGAGTGACCAAAATAACAACATAAACACACCTAAAGTTTCTTCCATTATGGTTAAGTCTTAGATAAGTACACACGATAAGTGACGTCAAGGCTATGTATGATTGAGTTGATGCATTTTATTGCTTTTAACAATATTTATGACATAGTTTTCTATGGAGGTGGCTCATGTTTAGTGCTCATCATAGTATTCATGGACTAAGCAATCAATAAGGTCAGAAAACAAAGAAACTATATATTGTCTTTTGAAATTTTTTTTTGCTGGGGAAGGAACTAAAATAAGACAGCTTACTATCACCATGGTTATGTAACACCATGTTCTATTTCTTTGTTACTAGTAATAACGTTTACCTAGCCAGCACTTATCACATTGCACTCACTTGCTTTCATTTTAACTTCAGACAATTCAGTCCATGAAAAAAAAATCCCAAACACTATTATTGGCTCTGCATTGGACCATACACTCTGGAAAAATCTATGAAGCATCTGTGTTGGACATTGAACAACAGACAGTACACTTCTTTGGACCCTGAGTGAAAGAAAACTCAGGTTTCCATCTTGGTC